TCTCTTGTTATACTTGTTATGTAAACATGTTTCAATAATGAAGTATACACATAAAACACTTTAAAACACTATATTCAAGACCCAGCATAGACATGAAAAGGAGTTCATGTGGTTGCTTCAATATATGTGTATTTAAAGTAGTGTTGACACACTGGGATTCCTGGTAAATCCACACTTACAATCCAAGTGCCCTATTTTTTATTATGGCTACAAGTTACTGCATGCCTAAAGGTAAAAGTATTACGTACATTTCCTTAGAGACAAGGGTGCATTGCTAGCTTATTAATTATAAAATGAGCTCATAGTTGTTAAACAGTACTCTGCAAATCTGCTAGAGTGTTTTATAAGCCACTGAATACATAAGGACTGTTTAAATCCTGAAATACTCCATTTTAAATACACTATAACATAACCCAGGATAATGGTTACATATGGTAAAACTACATAGATCATATTCATAAAAACTAACTGATCTTCCTTTGATCTTTGAAACTGCTTTTTCGGGTAGGGGGGAGGGGCACAATCTTAACATGGTTGCATTTATGCACTTGCACACCCAGAAATCTGTACTACATGGATGTAGGTAAGGAACAGAAGTTAAAATGGATTCGATAACACTGACTCCTCAGTATCTTAATATAAGTATTACAAAAAAAAAAAATCTGTCCTCAGTTAAAGGAATTCAAGAATAAAGTTCTCCAATATGTGACTGAATAAAGTCAATGGGGGCTGAAGCATCTCATGTTCTAAATTAGTTCCTTTCAAAATGTTTTACCTGAAAATTCGCATAGTATGTCAGACACCTAATTTACTTAGAAAGTAAATAATATTAGAGAGATGTTATTACTTCAAGGCATGAATGAGTTAACAGTAGTGTATATGCCAAGGTTTTAATAAGGCTTAACAATAAAAAAGCTTCAATCCTCCACTTTCACTAGATTTTGTTGTTGTGGTTTTCCCTTGCTTAGGGCAATCCATCTGTTAATGTTGACTTGCAATACAGTTAAGCTTGTGCACATACAAAAAGCCCAGAATAGCTAACCTAAGCAAGAGTGGGCTAAAATGTATATTATACAAAGAGAACAATTCTTTTAGGCTAAGATGAATTATGTGTGTTCTTTTCTTTTCTTTGGGAAAGATTTTCCAAACACAAATTATAAGAAGCCAATATAGCCACTATCATTTATTATAACAGATTTAATTGTTTATCTTCTGATTAAGCTTCAGCAGCCTTTTTACATATCATAATTCATTCCGACTTACTGTTAATTTTTAAACGTCTATTGCAGATCTGAAAAAAATTAAAACAACCACGACAGCAGTGGTAAAGATTAGTAAATATTCATTGTTAAAAACTGCTTTGCACTGTGACCAGTGCCAGTATTCTCACCGGGCCAAACTGGCCTTGTTTTCAATAAAACCAGAGAAGTATCCTTTCCCTTGAGCCCTGTTAGGCTGAGGCTGCAGTTGGAACTGTCATCTTCACACAAAAGCAAAGGGGCTGGGTTTTACAAACGTAAAGCCTAATTGGGAGATCTTCATGGTTGTACCCTTGACATTTATTTAAGCCTCATCAACAAAACAGGAAATAACTACTAATTAGCAGACCAGCATACAAACTATTATTTGCTGGGGTAGAAAGCAGATTCACATTCTACTCTAGAAAATATCCTTGTAATGAAATAATTGTAAAATTATCTCTGAAATGAAGAATACTTTAGTGTTATAGACTACCTTATAATACTACTTAAAAAAGAAAACATAAGATACTTATCTGAAGTAATCGATAAGTAATTTGATATTTCTAATTTACTCTTTGGAAAGCAGCAGTGGGAAACGGAAAGCTCCATCCATAGGCCAATAATGAAACAGAAAGTGTAACACAAAGAATTTAATGTTTCCCTGCTATGAAAAGATTTTATGTGAAAGGGTTGGTTATACTGGGAGGGAGGGAAAGGCTTCATTTTTCTGAGGTAAGAACAACATTTAAAATTTTCTCACACTGGGTTTTTTGGAGGTCTTCAGGTAAGTCAATTTTCCACTTAACCAATCTGGTGCCCCTATTTAGAATATATATTTAAAAAAGCATAAGCTACTAGATAACTATTAGCACTATTCTAATTATTCAGTGACTACCCAGACATGACAGCAATGGGCAACATTTTTGTAGACAGAAAGATTAATCAAGAGAGGCAGAGAGAGAAGAGGAGGTCCAGCAACAATTGTGAAGCAATGAGTGCAATTCATTTGCTTTTAGTAATGATTTCGCACGTTTGTGTGCATGTGCACACATGTGGGCGTACACATGCTTTCAAAGACAGCAGTTAGATCAGTACGTTATTTGCAAGCTGACTCAAATAACCGCGAAATTTAAAAACAGCAGCAGCAAACTATAGGAGTTAGGACTGGTTGTGACACTACAGAGATAACCATGTTTTGGGAACACACAGTCCAGATTGTTTGAACTGTGCAAGACCAAAGTTCTTGGCAAGTGATTACAGTTTGTTGTTCCTTGTCCACTGACTGCTTGTGACATTCAAGGGAGGGTGGGGGAGGGGGATACAGGACATGCTGCTCTCTCAGCAGGCCAAAGATATGGGGCCATTAGTGACAGAGCTTGTCTGGTAAACAAGCCCCTGCTTTCTACAGTACAGTTAGTTTTCCCCTGCATTATACAGGACACAAAAAAAAAGTCTCAAGTTGTTCTGCTCTGATACACTGCATCACTCCGAAAGCAGCATGTGTTGTTTTCAAAAATAAAGAAGTTGTCTAGTAAACAGTATCGGACTAAACCTTAGCTGTCTATGCCTGCTTGAACAAAAAAAGGTGTAACTGCTGAAAAATCCTGCTAGCACATATACGCAGCAGCCTTACCATGGGCTAATGCTACCTTTGTACAATTTACTAGTATTGAGTCAAGTATTAAGATGAAACAATTAAGGAGGCAGAGCAAACAGAACTAAGCATAAAACAAATTAGTAAACTGTAAGTGTGCATATGTTCAGTATTTGGATACATAAGAATACATCTGAATGTGCAGATATATCTTTAGGCTGCACTTAGATAATAGCATATATACATGATAAATTAACTGAGTATACAAATAGATGTATGTATGTGAATTTATATTAAATTGAGATGTGACCTTTTATTAGGACATATGTTATGGTTGCCAAAAACTGCATATGTTTGGTACCAATATTAATTGTAGTATTACATTTTTAAAATAAGTATATCTGGGAGTCTTTTTTCTTGATAATCACAGCAAGACAGTTATATTGCATGATCAACTGTGTTTGCTGATTTAGCAATGAAAATACACCGAGGGCACACAGTTTCAGACTTTCTCTCCGTCTTTAAAAGAAAGCTAAAAACAAGGAATGGTGTAGGACCTACATTAAAAAAGGAAGTGCTCACAGAGTTTCTTACACTCATCCAATGGGCTCAATATTAACATTTATTTTCAACCTCCAATTCAGCAGATCACTAATTAACACTTATTTTATAGTGGAGTCAAAACACTTTTCCTTTGATTATTGTTTGAAAAACAGGAAATTATTTAGAAAATTAGAATTCTGTTATAATGTCATGATACTGAAAGTAAAACAACACAGTCTTTTGATCTTTGGCACTCATCACTTACCTGAGAAGGAAATATTTGTAGTATAGAAAGTAGAAATTTGTATATATTAATAAAAATGTACAATCCTACTAAAGAGAAATCAGAAAACAACTATGCATCACATTACAGAGCATAAGGCTCAATAATAAATGTAATTCAAACATTAAGGAATTAAAGAGTTAAGCTGAGCTGCAACAGAAAATGAGAACCGTTAAAGAAATTAAGAACAGAAAGTAAAGGATATGACATAGTGGGCACATGTGCATTAAAGTGCTTTAGTTAATGTGCATTAAATCTAGTACCTCCAGGCACTTTTACACATGCTCCAGGGATGGGGGAGGAGGATCCAAGAGCCACTCTAATTAAAGTGCCTCAGCATCTCGTCTATCAGCATCTCCACGCTTCAAAATGGTGGTGAGAATGTTCAAACTAAAGCTTGCTCAATGAGCTTTAAAGTGCCCATGCCACCATTGTGAAGCATGAGGACACTGACACACAAGATGCAGGAGGCTGCTGGAGCACTGTAATTACCATGCTCCAGCACACTTGATTAATCAACTCCACCTGATGTGCTGACTTAGTAGCAAATCACAACATGATAATCAACTTAAGCAATATCTGAATTAAAAGATTCAATTGACTTTTAAACAATATATTAATGACCAACACTGTATCATACATAATGAAAATGATAGTTAAAGATAGGAATCAGGTTGTGCATGTCAGAACTCCTTAATTTTTGGAGGGCAAGGATTTCTTTGGGTGATATCTTTTATTGAACCAACTATGTACTTGGGATAGAGATAGAAAAACTTTCAAATGCAAGCTATTCTTTGTCAGGTCTTGTCCTGGGGAACATTTCTTAAAAAGTGATGCTTGTTTTTTTATTGGAAATGAACCTTATGCCAATACAATTATTTATCTAGTGGAAGTCCATAAAAGATGCACGCTGCTGAATCAGCTGTCAAACACAGCATTCCTTAGATTTCGCCAGTTCTTACGTAATTACCCTATGCATTTTCTTATCAGTACTTTTGAAGAAGTAACAAAATACAGCTTTTATTGGATAGTTTTTGGAAACAGTCATGGGACTAGAAGTTTAAATTTCAATTTTCATTGATTTTGATGGGATTTAAGAGATCAAATCAATGTCTCAAAATGTCTGTCTTCTTCCCTTCAAGGAGGGCAACATATGAATAGCCACATTATCTCTTATGAAGCAGTACAATCTGCAAGGAGTATCATTAAGTTTACATCATATTCCTGCATATAGATAATAGAAATTATCAGTAAATGTCTTCACCAGCACATCAGTGTGACTCAAAAACATCTCCCTCATATTTCAGGACAATGAAAGCGTAAGATTCTTGTGCCTTACTTGAGCAAGTTTTCGTTTCTCTAAACTTCCTCTCTTCTCATTGTGTACTGTGTAGACTGGAGTATACTGTGCTGCACTTGAACTTTGAGTTTCATGTTCTTCATCACTTTCCTACAGAAAAAAGTAGATTTAAAATCCTTATTTATAGCAATTACTTCAGTCTGTCCAATTGAAATATACCTACGTAAAGCAGTAAATGTTACTTTAACAAATAAGACTATTATTAAAAGTCTGTCACAAAATATCACTCAGAAACAAAATAAAAATCAACTTTTCAGGAAGCTAAGATACCCAATGAATCATTAAGATGTCAAGTTTCAAATGCATATAAAATATTTTTAGAATATTGAGATAAATATAAAAACAACATTAAAAACAGTCCCCTCTACCCACAAAGCAAATCATAAGAGATACAACTCAACAGGAAAACTTGGTGGTGAAATGCCTTTAATCAAAATTCACTCTGATATTTCTATAATGTTACTTCTGAACGTCGTTTTTTTATTCAGTTTCAACACTGGCATTGTACACTGATCTTATGAAACCAAAAAAGACAACTACACCTTCTGAATTTCATTGTACTGCAAGACTCTCCCATCTTAAAGTCACAGCTCGAAGCAAAGGCTTCAATTGTGATATCAAAGCAATCAACTTTATGAAAACATACATCCTGTTAATGTATCTTTGAAGACCTCTGTTGTTCTATGATAAAATATGCAAACAATAAAGAGATTATTCAGTGGATGCATGGAATGACAGATAGTTGCCAGAGGGCTCGTTATGAAAAATGTATTGTTGAACAAAGGGCTAAGCATATTTCAAAAGTCATTAAAAACACAAATCTCATGTGATTTGTAAAGTATAAGCTTCGAACTGATGCAAGCGGTAAGGTAAGAAAGTAAAACTAATCTTACATACCTTATGTTTTAACTTACTCCTCACTTCTTTTATTCCCTGCTTTGCATGACTTTTAGCCTAGAAAATTAAAACAAAAGGGCATAAGTAGCAATGCAAGATACCAGTTGTGTTCAAATAACATGCCTTATAAAGCTATTCTTAATGAAAAATTAAGCTTTTTTACATTATGTGATAAAGGAAGGATAATGATCTGTCACTAGCCTTGCATGTGCTATATCAGCTAGTCATACCTATGTTAATAAGTGTTATCATAATAAAGGTTGTTTCTCTGTTCATGCACATCAATATTATTAAATACAATATTTTAGCCAACATATTACTAAAAACAGGTTAAAAATTAATCAACCTATTCTGTAGCACCCAAGTTTTATTTAAAATGGTCTTTTAAATTTGAAGAAATATTTATCAGCAATTATTGTTGAAAAAATATTAAGTTTTTCAAGACGACTGCTATCATGTTCCAGACTGGCAACCTGCAAAGCAACATCAATCTTAAGAGAAATGATGTGATTTCATATGCAGATGGAGATTTTTGCCCAGTGTTGCTGAACAGCATATTGCTGCTATTTAGGAGGAAATTTTGTGTGCATTAGACAGCCGTCTTACTATTGTTCATGACAGTAGTTTGCACAGAGAATGGACCCACGAGCATCCCTCAATACAGAGGGCTGAAATATCATTCTAGATGACAAGCAGTTGTCCCCCAAATTTTCTGCATTTTGTATTTTCCTAGGAAAAATATTAATTTGGTTTGAGAGAAGCAGGAAAACTTTCCTACATGAGTCCAATTAGATTAAAAGTAACTTTAGAACCAACTTTTAAAAATGTTCTTGAGAATTCCAGCTTATATTTTTAGTAGTGTTGTATTGATATGGAAAGTTCCTAAAAGCTTGTCTAACATCTCTCCCAACTATAAAGTTGGTTTAATAAAAGACATTATGAAAAAAGTTGTGCTTTCTACAATTTTTCACATTTAAGATCATATAAAAAAACCTCATAGTCTGTACATGCAAATTACCTACACAAAACCTGCTCTTACTTTGCATGCAGATGTAATTTGTGAAGACCATTATATATTTTTCTGTGCATACACATTTTTGAGAATGAAAAACACTTCTTTAAGAAGCCATATTGAGGTGTTCTGAAAATTTGACTATTAAATCACGTACCCAGCAGCTCTTTCACAAAGCAACGAGGTGTCAGGTAGAAGATACTACTGCGAGAACAACTGTTATCTCCCAACTCGGACTCACAGCATTTGGACATGCTTGGGGTGTTCTGTAAAGATTCTAGGAGAAGGTACCAACCCTATTATTGTTTCAGTACCATCCACCAGATAATCCTCATTTTAGTACGAGTAGTATTCCACATTCCCAGCAGTAAGTATACGGGCTGCTGTACGTATGCAAGAAAATAATGTAACAGAAGACATCTAGGTCTGGTCTTGCAATTTGCTCTCTGTGAGAGGACATGTGTACAGACCTTCACAGTAGTTAATGGGACTTCCTTCTAAGTCAAAGAGTTCACTTAAAGAAAAAATGTCTGTGGCTATTAATAGGCTAGGAGAAAATAGGGTAACCTCATCTAAGCTAGTACAAACTAAGGAGAATATTTTCTAGCTAACCTGCTAATTAACTATTTTTAAATAAATAAGTTCATGAAAACAAAGAATTTGTATTTACTCTTTCTAGCCTCATGGCTTGTTTTATTTTGAATATATGAAGAATTCAAGATTTTTTTTAAGTTGATGAATTCGGTTTTATTTTAAAATAATTTTAAAACTGGACTCAATCTGAAAATAAATCAACTTGAGTTGGGTAAGGAAAATATAACAAAGGAGTCCAAAGTCTACATCTTTTTTAATTACTGCGATTTTATGAACCTCAAACCAATTAGTATGAAATAGGCTTGCAAATAAAAAAAATGATTGTATTAATATCTTGTATGCAACAGCATGTCTGGATGGCAGACCTTCCCTGCCAAATGATAAAAATGCTTCCATAAGCACTTTAGATACTGTTGCCAAGGTGCAGTTGTATCTGCTCATGCCAGGGCTGTTTGCTGCTTGGAGACTGATTCTTATTAGAATTAAAAACTTTTTTAGCACACTAATGCCAAAAAGGATTCTTAAATGTGTAGTTACATTTCCACCTACTTTCAGTTTATAGTGTCATGCTGGTGTAAATGGGCTTTAGAATGAATGAGTGTTTTCAGGGTCCCCATTTTAATGTTGTTGTTTTTTTCCACTGTAGTGGAGGTCTTCAGCTGCATGTCACGCATGTAACAGGTAAGCTTCTCTTTGTATTGTAAATAAAACCAATATAATATATTAAATATCTGAAAACCAGGAATGTTTATTTTTCTAAATGAACTCCTCCATTTCTAAGACTGAACTGAAACATGAATGCAAACTAAAAACAGTTCCTGAGCCTGTAATGTTTCCTCTATAGCACATGGGTGAAGTATACAGCCCTTTCAGTATTTAAGAAATACTAGATTCTATAATTACTGCAATTTTTAAACATAAACAGTTTGGGGAAAATGATCTTACAAAGTTGTACGCTGTTTTCATGGCAGGACTGGCTTTGGTCACTGCTGTGTTGATTAGTGCACCTCCTTTCTGAAATAGACAAAAAATTACTTTAATAATCCTTTCAACAAAGGTCAAAAGTTAGATAATAGCAAGCAAAACACATGAGGGCCTGCCATGAAGTAAAGTAGTAAAATAAAAGTCTTTGTTTTCAAATTAGAAAAATGTCCACAGCTGCATTTCCTCTACAACTTACCATCCGCATCTACACAAGGTTTATAGTATATCATTATCACGGCTGACACATATTTATCAATGCATTCTAATATAATGATGTATTCTCATAGCCTGCATGCACTGTAATCATTTTACATGTAGTAAAGAAATTATTCCCAGTTTCTAATGCATCTAAATATGCATTTTGTGCAAGTTTTTAAAAATTATTTTTATCAGATCAAAATAACTATGCCTAATTTAATCAAATCAAAGTTTTGATCATTTAAATACTATATTATACTGATCCTGAATAGTGACAATTTTGTGCAACAAAAGTTTTTCTTTTAGTTAAACTATGTAAAAAAAAACCCGCATTCACAAAAAACCTCTGCTCACATTAACCAAACTGCTATTCTCTAGAAGTGATAAAATTCCTTTCAAATCCTACTGACACACCTAACTCACAGTTATGGAATGCAACAATAGACTACAGTAATGTCCTTGACTAGATATAAAAGAAAAACATTCTGTGCTTCTGAAATCTTGACATTTATTTTTTGGATAAGATTTATTTTTTGGATTTTTTTTCCTATTTTTTAATTCAGTAAAATTTTGCTATACTCAAAGACACTAATGTATGACAAACTATATATGGATAAAATAGCTTCTTTATTTCCACTGCATGAACAAAAGGGATAGAAAAAAATAAGAGCAAAGGAGTAATTGATCATATAAAGTCTGATCCTTTAGAAGTCTTACATTCAAAATATTGACTTTTTCCAAAAAGAAACTAGACAAATAAGAATAAAGCTTTTTATACCTTTACTGTATACACCCACTGCTGATAGGATCTTGAATTTCCTGTGACAAAAATGGAAAATAAAATAAGGTGAGACGCATTTAAAATAGTTAGGGTATCACTAGCCTCCCCACAACACACACTCCATAAAATCATTTTTAGAGGATGACATGTTTATTTGTTTCTATCCCGCTTGTAAAGAATGTAAGTTTATATACATAAAAAATAAAAATGGGACTTCTTTTATTACAAACTTTCCATTTGTCTCGAACAGTGCTTCTTTTTCATTGTACTTTATACTTTTCTCCAAAGACAGCTGGTAACTCTGACTTATGTATAAAGAAATATTAAAACCATAATCATATAACTCTCAGCAATTCAGACTGATCAAAGGTCTAAAAAGAAAAGGAAAGAAAATCATACATGTCTGAAAGAAGGAATAGGTATGGTACCTAGAATACTTTTTGCACTGAATATAACGATTGCTGCCTTTTTTCCCAGAAATGGATTTGCTTCCTTATCCTTCTGGGAAAATTAGTATGGGAAAAATAATTTGGCTGATGATACTATTATGAGAATGAAAAGAAGATTGGAGGTATGAATAAAGACTATTGCATCATTTCCTATATTTGATGCATGGAAACTCACTGAAAATAAAAGTGTAAATGGCAGGATCTTTCTTTCATATATGAAGAGTTGCAATCCTTGTAAAAGGCCAGGAAAGGAGTAATGACCAACACAGATAGAATAATTGGGTGCTATTGCCATATCTATTGAATCAAAGACCACCCTAAACTTAAGGTGAGTCCCCGCAATTATTAGATTCTATAAACGACACAGACATAGACACAGACATAAGGGGCTGGAAGGGACCTCATGGGATCATCAAGTCCAGCCCTCCTGCCATAGATAGGAAGTCTGTGAGGATCAAATGATCCAAGCAAGATAAACATCCAAGCGCCTTTTGAATGAGTCCAAAGTAGGTGCTTGCACCACCTCCAGGGGGAGTCTGTTCCAGAACCTGGACACTAGGAATGTGAAGTTTTTCCTTACGTTCATTTTCCATATAAATGGAAAAATTATAAATTTGTTATCACTTTCCATGTACAGAACCTAATTATTGGAGGGTTGTCTTTAATTCATCCCTTCTACCTCTGGAGGGGGAAAGGCAGTAGGGGTGGGGGACAGGTCGTATGGGGAGGTCAAGCAGCTTGCTCCCTGCTTGTGCCTGCCTCCTTGCCACTTTTTCTCTTTGTCTGTCCCTCCACAGCCTTGTGTCCCTCCTTCCCAGCCTCTATTCCCCCAATTCTCTCCAAGCACCTGCTCTCCATCTCCTCCTCCATGCCTCTACTCTTGCCTTCCTCCCAGGCTTTGTTCAGGGGCTGGCAGGCTCCATCCCTGTTTTAGCCTGGGGCATGGAGCATGTACCCAGCCCAGCCCCTATAGCAGCTGCGTGGGCTGCCTGCCACTGCTGTGGGGCCAGAATGGGGCTGGACTCAGTGACCCAGGCTACAGCATGCACAGAGCCTGCCAGCATGGAGCAAAGGTAAGGTGGGGTGGGGGAAAGGGCAAGTGGGGCAGCAGAGGTTGTATGGGGGTGGGGAGATGGGAAGAACAGACTGTAGGGAGGAGACAGCAGGGTGCAGAGGTATTGTGGGTGGGGGGGGCATGCAGGCAGCAGCTGAAAGTATCGCCCTGACCCCAGGTAGGAGAGGGAGCCACCTGTCCCCCTGAAGCACCCTCAAACGCAATTCTAAGACAAGGGGCATTCTTCCCCATTATATTAAATGGGGGTGGGGGGACACCCTTGTCTTAGAATCAAGTAAATATGGTGCTGCCCAAAAAGGACAGGTTTTTGCTACTGAGACATTGAATTTAGAAGGTATTTCACCTGAATACGCAAGACTGATGGTTGTCTGGTTTGAGTTTAAGAGCAGAATGACCACTTCAATTTACTGACACTTGCGAATTATAGTCTCCTGACACATGTTTGTTTAAGGTTGCTGTGGGATCCAATCCCTGATCCCAACAATCATACCATGTATATATGGCAGGAGGCACAAGTTTGGTATCAGGGGTCAGATCCCAACTGCACCCTTTCTACATACCATGCTCATGATCCTGAACTCCTTCTGCACCACGAAGCTGAAAGCCCAGTGCTTGCAAGTCAGCTGACTGTCAGTCCTGGACACCTGGTCAGTGTGTCTGGGATTGTCAGTCCCAGAAATGCCATGAATTCAATTTAAGGCACCATACACAACAGCCATAAAAATGTCCTATGTAGAACACTATTTGTAGAATATTTTTATGGCTGGTTTGCCATTTTATGGCACTTTAAATTGGGTGCACGTGTAGCATTCTTGCTATTTATGTCATGATTAACACATTGTGGCATAAATGTAATGTGTAGAGGGGGTCACAGTGTTAGTTATCATGAATGAAAGCTTCCACCCAAGGTATCTGAGCTCACAAGAATGAAGTTCAAACAAGGCACTTATCAATTTTGCAGGGAACATACTGATATCACTTGACAATACAGGCTTTTTAAAAAATGCCTCTTAGGCTCTGTGTAATCAATCTAAGAACTAGAGCCAGGATGGAATTCTGCTGTTACATTGGCTAGTGAAAAGCCAAAACACCAACAACCCTCACTCATAGAACATGTCTGAGGACTAATTAGACAATTGTAAAATGTAATCCAACAATTCCTGAGTGAGACAAGTGATGGGATTTAGCCGTTTGGACTTGTACCAGGCAGCAGAAAGCTTTGATTTAAAACCCGCATGCCACTTCACTAAATTCCTTGCAAGCACTTTTGAGATAGCCAAGTTCTCAGGAATGGTGCTATGAGTGAACGGGATGCCAAGTTGGGAAAGACATTTTAATGGATTTAGCTATGATCATATATCTCCTGCAGAAGTGCCATAGCCAATAACCTACATAGCAATGACAGAATACTTCTCCCTCAAATTTGACTCGTCACACCTGATTTACTCACAGACACAGTACATACAAATAATTTTCTCACAATATGTTAAAATGTTACCACAGCTAACACACTAAAGTAACAAACTAGACACACTTTAAATAAATGTATTTTAATATCACATTTTATTGTTCAGACTTGTGGTAGTCATACCTATACAATCATTTAAGGCCCAATATAAAGCCCACTGAAACAAAAAAACAACATTTGCTCCTGTTTTATGGAAAAATTCAGATACTTGTACTGTATTTTTCAGGGTCCCTACTAATAGTGGTTTTCCAGAAACTAGAGAAGATAAGTCTAATAAATTATTTTCAATTTTTCAGTCCAATATTCTGCTGGAAAGACTTAAATATGAGAGATCCTTCCAAAGTTTTGTCATTTTCTACTCAATGAGTGAAGCAAAAGTCCCAAGAAAAAATCAGATATTCAGCCAAGAAGACAGAAAAGCAAACACCAATTTTACTTGTGCCATATTTGAACTACTGAAATTTATACTGGAAAATGCTGAATTATGATAATAAAGCTAACATTCCCAACAAAGATCCAAAGCATCTTATTTCTTCACTATCAGGAACACCAAAATTGTCAACCTACATTTTAAAAAATACCTGAAAAATGCAAATATTTATAGATCGCTTTCATTATTAAATTTTGCAATAAATCCATGTGATGAAAAAATAATCTACAGATGAGCAACATATATTTGCAACAGTTATTACCAAATCACATGCCAATAAAAAAACAAACAAAATGAGATAATAAGTGCCAAGGCACAACTGTGTGTTGTTACAGAAGGAGAGGCAATTCTGAGTTTAATTTCTTACCAAAGCTGTTTTTTTCTCTTTTTACCCATTGATATGGAAGAGTAATTTGCTGGGAATTCCAAGACTTTAATTTTGCAGTTCTGAGCAGCCAGACATGACACGGAGCCAAGAAGTTTAACTGAAGCACCACAGGAAGTGTGAATTGTACACTAGCACCACAAGAAAGGTTGCTACTAGTTTCTAACAACTTTTCAAAATTGACCAAAATTAAAGCAAAGATTTTTGGTGGTATAACTCATTTCATATGTTCTGGCCTTAGGCCAAAAGGGAAAATAGAAAGAAAGAGAGGGCTAAAGAAAGAAGAAAATGGGACAAATTATTAGCAATCTTAATATCCTAAAATTTATCACTACCCTTGGAAGGGGAGTATTGAAAACGTGATCTTAACATTGCTCCAAGCTTGCACCTTCTCCTCTGCTTACTTTCACTTGATATTTACTCTCAAAAATTGATTTTAAAAGTTTTAGAGCAGGTGGGGAATCAAATTCCCCATCACCTCACACAACAATTAGTGCTGTTTTTTGCTCACATAGCATACCTAGAAAAGCATAGACAAAGATACTAATTGATTCTGCCCTTCCAGCAGACCTACCCAACTGTGCAAGAAAAGAGCTAAAGACTTAGCCACAATAATCTGAGCACTTAATGTTATATTGATAATTTTTAAAGATAATGTAAATGGAAGAACCCATGTAAAAAAGGTCAAAACTTAATAAATGCTATTTTGATGTGGTAGGCAACACTTTTCTTCACCATAAAAATATACATTTTTATGCACTTTATTTTTAAAAAAAAATTATCTGAATAAAGATTGGCTAAATGGAAATTTTGCTCTAAAATTTGCAGTAAATTATTTGCATAATTTAATTGCATTTGCCAACATTTAATTTAACACATACAAACAACACAAAAGATATGGAAAAAGATCCTTAAAGAGCCTTTCTTTTGAATCAATAGCATGAAATTCTTTTCACTATTCTTCACGATGTGTTCACTTGTCCTTTCAACAATGCATAGCTCAGTCTGACTTTTTGTGACTTTTCAGAAACATGGACTCCACCCAATTTTGTAAAACCTTGAGCCAATGCTAAAGTTGATGGGACTTAACTATGAAAAGGATCATAGTTCTACCCCATTAGTGTCATAAAATGTCACCTTCGATCACATACTTCTTGCTAGCCCTGCACCTCATAATGATAATGAGACAGCAGTTATGTAAATATTGAATATATGCCCTAAGCAATTTGTCCACAACCTGGCAATATACAGCTTGTCTGACTTGAAAAGTAAGGACACAATACAATCTAACACAAAACTGCTATTGAAGCTGATCATTCCCTCATGAGCATAGCCAGGTAAGACATGTGGTTGACAAAGCATATCAGTGTAGAGCCAGGAAACTAACTTTATCCAAGTTCTAATGCAGTTTCACTGCAGTCTCTTGACCTCTTAACTGCAGGAGACAATGTAACTTTAGGTATTGACATTACCCATCTGAATGGACATGTCCGCTATATAACTATTTATAAAACAGTCTGAGTAGGCTACCCTAAAGAAAGGAGGAAAATGACTAAACCTTGGTATGACTCCATTCTCCATGGCTGAACTTCCATCCTCTCATTCATATCACAGTAAAATTAACTATGGACCAGATTTAAATGCAAGAGTGGAGGAGGATGGGGGTGCAATGAAGGGAGAAAAAGTAATTTTGTAGCTAGGTATTAACACAAACAAGAGTCGAGGGCAAAGGGATAGCAATGCACAATACAGCATCAGTTATGGAAACCTTACAACTCTGGAAAATTTTGTCATCCAGGAAAAGTCCTTCATGGGCCAGATCTATGAGCTTTAATGTAGCTTTATAATAGAATACTGAAAGCTGCTTAAGTGACTTGGTGAATTTGATCTGAGTGACACATTTCACATTTATACAGAAAGCAGTGACTCCACCCTATAAAATTATTTTTGTAGCCAATACAACTGACAATAAGTAATTGGTGCCATATAACTACAAATTATAAAACAATTATGTTGGACATGTTTTAGATATACCTTACACATTCTTAAAGGTGTTGACTCTGCATGGCTAGTAGAAGCAAGAAGATGTAAAAGTTTATTTAATCATGAAGTCAACTAATATAACTGAACACATACACACAGGGAACTGAACATTTGTTTACGAGTAAGGTAAATTTTACATTGTAACATTTCAGCGTATTTTGCATGTAACAGCCATATTTCTTCCAAGATTTCTTGCTATTACTTAGGTATAAGACAGACATAAAATGAGGTGCACGGAATAAAATTAGATAAACTTTTAAAATAATTAATAATTATTAAAAGATAAGACATTAGGAAGCAAAATCTTGTAATAATTAATAATTACTAATATAATGTTTTATCATGACTTTGTAAGAATTGCTTATTAACCTATTTATCTTCTTTAAATACACTGAACTGTTAGCTAAACAGCTAGTTACCCATCTTACTAATAATATAAAGGGACTGAAGCACTACTAAAAATGAAAAAAAAACATTTAATCGGTTATAATAGTTAAGCTGTTAGGCAAAAGTTACATTCATCAATGTCAAGAGGATGTCATCTTCAATTGTTCCAATGGGAGATAGAGAGATACATAAAAACATGCTTTAAATAATTCCATACCTCCAGAAAAGCCTCCTGAAGTGATCTCTTCCTCAAAAGCATCAGAGAATCTCTTTCCTCCATTTAATTTTGATAGTCGGCCATCAATAAACTGGAATGTTCAAAAAAAATTGAGTCAAAACTAAGTTGATCCTTCTTTAAGGTTCAGAATGTTAAGTGAAAGTATATCCATCGTATGTAAGTTAGAGAGAATATAATGTATCCCAAGAACACTATAATACTTTTAAGGGGCTTGTGTAATAGTGGATACGATAGTAGTAGCAGAAATATTATCACTGACACCATCAGTTCAATGCCACTAGTATTTTTTTTCTGATTTTCTACTGTGTACATGAAAGAGAGAAAATTTAAGCCTGTGGTATGTATGTGATACCCAAGATTATTTCCTGAATGAAATTCTCATAATCTTATTTTGAAAGGATCTTGAAATTACTTTCAAACACATTCTTTTTTTATTGTTGATGCTAGGAGAGCATGCTAGTTTATTCCATTAAAAACCCTTCACTTCAAGTTTAAAATGATTGTCACTAAGTCACTTCAAGTTGCATTTGTGGTGTAATGAACTTGTCCCATCTCATGTCCTTGATGTCTTTTGGCTAAGCATTGCTAACTCAATATTTTGTCAAAATTTAGAAAATACTTTGTCAAAATTTGGAGAATTTCCAATCAGTTCTAGTCAAATAAAGGCATAACTTGGTTACCAGATACTCATGCAAGTGTCAGATGCATGTGTTCTGGCTGAGAACGGAGACTCTACCAGGACAGAAGCTCTATGAAACAAGACTAAATGGAAGAGATCTTGGAACAAAACTACTGCAATTGAGAGAGAAGAAATTTGTGGCTGCTGGCTACACAGATTTGTGGGAACAGCAATATTTGGGTTGGAAGTATGTTTTGTTTAAAAGTACAGGAACTTCATGCTCTGAGTGCTCAAATAAAACCAGTGTGTGATACAGGGCCATATTTTAAGCTGGGCCTCTATTAACCTCCATCTGTTTGTGTGAACATGCTTGCCAATGCAGCCATGTTTTTCAGGTCCAAACAGATACCTGCATGTAATGTGTGTATATATACCTCTTGACTTTGCCTCTAAAGTTTGTAGAACTATAAAAAAAATAAAGTGATGTGGCCAGCCACATATTCAACGCCCTCTGGCTGGACCCCAGCAAAGACATGTTCTCCAACCAGAGGACAATAGGGGGCTGCTCCATAGCTCCCCTGACCTGCAGGGGAACCCTGTCATTGAGCTGGACAGGCCCACTGGCAGGCTTGTGAGCCTGGCTCCTGGGCAGCCTGAAAGTTGGCTGGAGTCTATCCTGGGAGCTCAGGACACAGTGGCCTCCAAACCTCCCTGACAGCTCACCCCTGGGCAGACCAGAGCACAGTGGGATTGTGGGGGTCTCCTTACCAGGCCAGATGTTACATTTTTTATGGCATCACAAAGAACTTGCTGTTTAAAGTGATTTCTCACAGATCTGCCATTTTTGTAGCAGATGAGCAATTTTTATCTTGGGACAAATTCTTTTAGCATCTGGTATGTTATCATTTGTTGCATGGAATTTGCATATATCCCACAACAAACGTAAGGTCTGGAGAAGGCCCAAGGGTTAACATTTTCACGTGCAAAGACAGTTTCAGTTAATGGGTTTACAGATCTCCCTTTGAGCACTTGTCCTAATACAGATGTTAGAATTACATGATTTGTATAAATACATTGTACATAAGAAGGCTGAAAGAGAGACCAAATATATCAAAATAGAAAGAAAAATGAAAGTAAAATAAACAATAATAGAATATCACCTCCCAGAAAAGATAACATTCTTCTAAAGACTGAATTGCTTTAAAGGATTAAGACTAGCACATTTTTATAAATCTGACATTTCTAGAATGCTTTCAAGAAGTAATCCATCTATTCTAGTTTGAGTGGGCTACATCCAGTCTCTGCAAAGATAAACTGAGAAAGCATTTTAGTGATTATACATTTCAATTTCAAGCAAGTTACTAGTTATTCACTCTTACTATAATAGTACCTAGGAGCTAATAGAATTATTTGGCTAAATGTCATACATTATCACAGATTATCCAAACAGTACTGTGAGTGACAATCTGATGCTTGTCAATGAATAGACTGATGACATGAAACAAACTCCTGTCTTACAGAACAAAAAATTCCAGCAGCAATAATAAAAGAGAACATGCTGTCGAAGATAATCATTCCCTGTTGTTTCTTGGCTACATTCTGTTTTACTTTTTCATTTTGACTCCAATTCGGCTCTTTTCCAAATAGGTTTGGTTCATGGTCAGACCACTATGGGATCACTGGATTATTTCACAGTAAGAAAGATAGATAAGTGCATTTTTAGCTACCACAGTGGAGAAACAGCCTTTGAACTGTAAGACATTATCTTTTTGGGGAAAGTTATGAATTCATTCCATGCCACAAACCAACATATGATTTATAGACATACTCATCATTTGGTAAATTGTATCAACAGAAAACGGAGAGGTTGACTTCAAACCTTCAGTGCAAGGATTAGTCTAATAAGACATTTAATATAAATACTGCCAGATATAACTGTTAAGAAAAAAAAATGGAGAATCTACTTGAACGAAGATAGTTACTTATTTCTGAGTACTAAAAAGGGAGAGTAATGTAGTTCTTTTAAAAGTACTACATAGTAGTAATGGTAGGTAATGTTAACATCACACATTTACACATGGTGATGCTTTTTGTCCATAGTCTTCAAAGATAATAAATCTTGTTTTGTTATTCAGGTAGCAAAAGCTCCTACTTTTGGATACAGAGGGTGCATCCAGACAAACCCATGTGTGTGGTTTGCGGTACTGCAGACCACATGCACTGCATATGCAGGCAGTCACCATACTGCCAATTGGCAGCACAGGGGGGACGAGGTTAACAGCAGGAGAACCCAGTGTCAAATAAACTCACACCAGAAAAAAGTAGGATGGCACACATGGTGGCAGCGTGTACTGCCTGAAACTGGAGCTTGGCTGGCCAGAGCCACACTCCACCTGTTAGCCATGCTCTGAGCACCTGAAGCTCTGGGAGGATCCCAGAGCCCCATATAAGGCTTTTAGGGCCAGCCCAGGAGCTGTACCCAGCCTCCCCTACCCCACCTGGGGCAACATGCCATGCACCAGAACATGTGTGCAGGCACGTTCCCCAGGGACAAAAAGAAGTGGCACAAATATGTGCCATTGCTAGTTGTCCCTGGGGAATGCACATTCCTGCTTGTGGAGATGCACACAGAGAGTCTATTTTTGGCGCTCACTGCTGGAAAAAAAATCATTCCAGTACCACTCCTATAGTTCATTCCAGTTTTTCAGTAGAAGACATATACAACTTTCACAGTTAAATAATTTTGACATCTGAGAATATACGTGGTTTGATCAAAAAGTTCTAAGACTTGATGTTTGGGGTATTGTTCATCAGGAATTTGTACCGAGTGGTCAAACAATCAATCAGGCCTTTTATAAAGAGGTTTTGATTCAACTGAGGGATAAAGTTAGAAGAAACCGCTTTGAGCTGTGTGAAAATGGTTGATGGTTTCTGCACCATGACAACGCTCCTTCACACACTGCTGTCTCCATTCAAGAATTTTTGGCTGAAAAAAAACATTCCTGTGATACCACACCCTCCATATTCACCTGACCTTGCCCCGTGTGATTTTTTTCTGTTCCCAAAAATCAAAATGAAGCTGAAAGGAAGGAGATTTGATGACATTCCAAGCATCCGTAAGAATGTGAAAGTGGAACTCAAAAAACTCACAGTTGAAGACTTCCAGCATTGCTTCTGAAAGTGGCAGGAACTTTGGGACAAACGCATATCATCTGGCAGAGATTACTTTGAAGGGGACAGCTCATAAAAATGTTGTTTGTACACTATTCTTTAAAATAAAGGCTAAATCTTACAACTTTTTGATCACCCCTCATAGATGTAGTACCCTGCAGAGTATTGTGTGGCACCCCTTGCAGGAAATGGCCAATGACCTCTGAATGATCCAACCAATACTGCTGGTTGTGCAGGAGACAAAAATCCTAAAAGTCAATTAGAAGTAAATTTCTGGTGAACGGGGAGGGTGCAAGTAGGGCAGAAGGAAGAGAATCAAAGCTCACACAGTGAGTTGGTTTGATGAGTGACACTCTCATGCAATTATGTCATTAAAGCAGCAGAAGCAGGCCGCAGCTGTAAAATAGGGAGCTAGGTGCATTAACACAGCTTTATAAAGCAGTGACTGGAGCTTCTGGGATGGGTGAAGCATGCAGTTACTCTTACGCACTGGTCTGGAGCACCAGACTCTTTTGACATGTGCATATGTTGTATACTCTTGTCTCCTCTTTCTTTGCCAGACTTACAGGTAGCTCCCTTGGATGCTCCAGGGAGATTTGGGAGATGTTTCCCCGGCATAACAACTAGATGTATGTGTACTACCCCTTGTGCACTCAGATTGATTTCTAGGTAGACACAGCAACATGCACTGTTTTCTGTTGCACAGCTCTTCTGCATGGGTTAAAGCTGCTGAGCAGTGTGCTTTCTTCTTCTGAACAATTCACCAACAGAAAAAACTGTTGTAATCCTGATGGGGTGTTGTTACACCAGGAAAGGAAAATACACACCAAAGTACTGAAATAATAAACATGCATGCAATAAAATGCATCAGAATGATGAAGAAAAGGTCCCATAGCATACGCAATTTACCAAAATGGCTCATTTCAGGGGAAAGAATGAAGTGGGAAAGCTGGCAGAGGGTAGATTTAGGCTAGATATCAGGGGGCGCTACTTCACTGTCAGGGCAGCTAGGATCTGGAACCAACTTCCAAGACAAGTGGTGCTGGCTCCTACCCTGGGGGTCTTTAAGAGGAGGCTAGATGAACACCTTGCTGGGATTGTTTGACCCCAGTACTCTTTCCTGCCATGGCAGGGGGTTGGACTCGATGATCTGCTCAGGTCCCTTCTGACCCTAGAAACTATAAGAGGACATAATCAGTGGCTAGGCAGAGGGCATTAAATCCCAGTCACATCCCAGATCAGAGTCAAGAAGCAACGGACAGAATTATTTGGACTACAGC